TAATTTCCACGTCATCTAGTTAACGGTCAAACTTAAAGTTGACTGCCACGTATGACAAATTTAACAGAGTATAACGGTCGGTGACTAATGGTGAAATGATTCGTAAAGTTAGTTGCGAATAAGAAACAAAAATAATTCGGGTGGCAAACGTGAAAGATTCGTATAATTCGAGTGACCAAACGTGTAATTCAACCAGTGGTAATGCTTGGTATTACATAAGATCATACCATGTGATATGGATGTAGACCATAGTGGTATCAACATGCCAAAGTGTAAAATGGTTGAATACATGACAGTATAAATAATCATTTACCACATCCATCATTGTTTACATAACTTTACCACGCCTATATCGGGTGGTTTGAAGTGGTACATTTTGTTTCTTTTTTCTACCAAAATTTTATGGAGCTAATAGATCTAAATGAACTCATTCCCTTTGTGTAAAAAACTTCAAAATTCGAGTTAAAAAAAAGGTGGTAATTACGAGTGGTATGAAATTTCTTTCCGAATTATATTAAAAATGGATCTTATTTTGTAAATCACAACAAACTCATTCTATCTGTGCAGAAAAATTGAAATTCAAGTTAGAAAGAAAAAAGATAAAAGCTAATAAAATAACTGGAACAAATAAAAAGCTATTAATTCTTACTCCTAATATCTTGATTTTTCTGGCCTCACTCAAAACTAATAGCCGAGATCTATTTATGCAAGGGTTAAGCACCCTATTCTATACCCTAGTAATCGTAATATTCATTTATAATTATGAACTTTCCTTTTTTACAACACAATAATGAACTTTCCCTGGTCTCAAAGGCATGATTTAATCTCTTGGCATGTAGCTGGAGGAATTTTACAATGCTATATATAGCATTGTTGTTTTAGGTTTTTGTCTTTATCATACAATTTGAAGTTAACTTTTAATGTTATGATACAACTTCAAATTGTAACTATATTCTTTTGTACAAATTACTTTATGATATATTTTGAATTTGTACCTTTATGTGATGGTACAACTTCAAGTTGTACCATAACATAAGAGTACAAATGACTTTATGGTACAACCTGAACTTATACATTTAACGTTATGGTACAACTCCAAGTTGTACATTAAAGCACAAATGCTTAATAGCATAGTAGAAGTGCACCCATAGTGCGTGCTTTTTTATTGGTCACTTTGTATGGAAATCGTAATGTTATGAAGGTAATACTGATGGGGCACAAAGAATCTTCAAGGATGTGCAATTTGTGTCGTCAGCTTTTTAGGTGATGGAAACGTCTCATTTTCTTTTAGTAAATTTTATTATGGTATTGCATATGCTTATATAAGGGAACTATACTTGTCCTTCATAATGCTATGAGATAATCTCTTACTCATAATGTCTTGTTGTTACTTTTTTCGGGAATTCTCAACCGGACATCAAGGATGCTATTTCGAGAAAGTCTTGTCATTTTCAAGTCGGAGTCATTTTAAGAGAAATTCATTCTCTCTTCCCGTCCTTTGTGTACGTTTCATGTCTCTTTGATTCTTGGAATTTTCACAAAGTCATTTACCTAATAACAAAACATTCTTTTATCGAAATTCTGATTGCACACGAATTATCGTTTATTATTATTACTATTTGTTTTGTAATTTATTTGTCCGGTCATTGTCTAAAAAGATTTAGAATACTCCAGAAGAGCCACACATTGTTGACAATCTTGCTGGGTAGCATTGACTGAGCATTAATGCTGATATTGCACACACTACACTGCACTGCACTGCTGTGGTGTGGGGGATGTGTCGTAATTGGATGGGTAGAGTAGAGGCACACTGTCCAAGAGCGGAGCACCGACGGACGACTGGAATGTGCTGGAGACGGTAAATTTTTGTAGATAGGAAAACATAACATTGGGAGCGGTAACGAGTGGGTGAGCGACCCAGTATGAATTCAAGGATATGGTCAGCTGTCAGCACAGCAGCATTCATACATCACGGTAATAAGGGCTAGTAGTACCGACTGAGGTGGTGAAGTTATAATAATATTTTGGTTTTCAATACATCACGGATATCTGCCCAGTCGCGCAGCTCCACTTTGGTCATCAGAGCATTGCCGGTTGTCCGATTGAACAAAACACCGCGCTGATGATGGATAGAGAGACCCATGTATGGTATTTAACCACTTCTTTACACGTCTTTTTAAATGAAAGTCGACTCATGAGTTTGAAGTTTGTACTGGCCCGCGACCTCAAGAATAAACCAGACTCCAATACCATGTCATCAACCAACAGGTCCCAATAACTCGAATTGTTAGGGAATGTCAATGTATAATATTTAACCACTTCCTTACAAGAAAAATTGATTTAGTTTTGAACACATAATCCGAAGTATCCTCGCAGAAAATAATATTATTGTAATGCAAAATATTTACTAAAAATCCATCCTCCGTACAACCCTTATAAATGGCGGAGTAGTACTCTTGAATCTCAGTGCATTAATTGAATTATAGGCGTAGCTGGTCACTATTAGGTGAAAAAAGCACCAGAACCCGGGCCCCGGCTCTTCAAAGCATCCAACTCCCAAGCTAGCTAGCTAGCTTATTTCCATACACTACTCATCTACTCCCTATCGGAGCATTATTAGTGGACCCTCCACCACTACCACACATATAGCCTAGATGTATATTTAGCATACCGTATTCATCAGATGCCTTTCCACAGTGATGTTGATATACTTGATCGTTTAATTCACTTTTGTTTTGGTAAAATATATTTAAACAACTAGCTAGGCATTTCAGATAACCGTAATAATACAAATAAGATCAAGAAAAAACGGTCGACAATTAGTCGAATCACATATAAGGGAGTGTTTATCGCTACACAACGGACATCTCTTTAAAACCAATACGATATCGACAATATCCATGATTTTTAGTTTTTTATCCTATAAAGGTGAAAATCATTGTTTAATTCACATGGTTTGCTAAGAGAAAATGTAATAAAAAAATTTCCTTTCTCCCCAAAATTATGAATGTAATGTCTTTAAATTGGATATGTTATTCATCCTCCAAACTTTTATATCCTCTAAAGCCAGATGGATCAATACCATGTGTTCAGGGCCGGCCAAGAGGGAGTGCTGGCCCGCCCTCCGGCACAGGGCCTCAGAATATTATGGGCCTCTACTTAGATTCGTTAGTTACCAATCGTATATTGTAGGTTGTATTTTAGTGTATGATTGATTGATTATTAGTATGATGATGTGTTTAATAGATAATTTTAGCTATAATAACAATTGAAAAGGATCTCATGGAGAATACGAAATCTGAAAAATAATAGATAATTTTAATTTAAACAATATAGAAAGATATTACATTTTGAATAATGTTATTATAATCATTTTAGTTTTGTTATAGTTAAAGGTCGATTTGGACCACGTCTAGATTTTGAAATAGGGCCTCCACGATCCAGTAGACAACCCTGCACCCACCTCTCGATCAATTTAGACTATTTTCATTTCTCCATTCAATTTTTGCGCTATATTCATTTTCTCTTCCTTCCAGATTTACTTTCCTCCCTATTAGGGCTGGGAATTCGGTCTTGGTTTCTTGGTCAAACTGGAAACGGGATCGTTTATTCCTGATGTAATCTTTTTCTGAACTTAAGTATTTTTTTACAATTATTTACTAATTTTTAATTTTGATAAATTTATGGAAAAAAAAAATTAGGGCCACATTTTAAATTTTCGAACAGAGCCTCCAAATATCATGGGAAGGCCACACTTCTGTGAGGTTCCTATACGAGCAGTAGGCAGCAGTAATATGGATACTTTATTGTGATTTATCATCAGGATTCAGGACAGTACAAGACCCCATTCACGTAAATGCACTTCCTCCACTGCATGCCCATATGCATGCCATGTGGCAAAATACTGCCGCACCAGTAGATTTAACTTTTTAAGGCAAAAAATGAATTCAGGGGGGAAAAGAGAAATTTTACAATGCTATATAGTATTGGTGCTATAGGATTTTGTTTTTATGGTACAACTTAAAATTGTACATTTACGTTATGGTACAACTTTAGATTGTACTTATACTTTTTGTACAAATTCTTTTATGGTACAACTTGGACTTGTACCTTTATGTGATGGTACAACTTCAAGTTGTAAAGTTGTACCATAACATAATGGTACAAATTGCTTTGTGGTACAACCTAAACTTATACATTTAATGTTATGGTACAACTTTAAGTTGTACATTAAAGCACCAATACTATATAGCGTAGTAGAAGTGCTCGGGGGAAAAAGCATAAAAGAAAGAAATATTTTTCTTTTTTGTTACAGGAGAAAGAAAGAATTAATTGTGGGCGATTCAACCAAAAAGAAAATTAAATGTGGGGTGGGACGTTTATGATATTGCTTTCAATATCTCCAATAGAGCAGCAGCCCAGAAAAGGAGAAGAAGAAGAAAACAGTTAGGGGTGACAATTTCACTTGACTCGTTTTACCTGATTTGTTTGACTTGTTTTTAGATGGGACGAACATGAGTAATTTTTATTGACCTGACCTACCTCGATGTGTCCCATTCTTGATCCGTTCTTGCATAAACTACATGTGATTTTGGTCAAATTATTTTGAATTTTCCTTTTAATACCACATATTTTAGCTATAATAAACTTATAAATAAGTAAAAACCTTAATTTCTCCAATAATTTAACTATATTTCATCATATTATGGTTTTTCACTTGGTCTTTTAATGAAAATAACGAATATTTCTAATATTTTTTTCACATAAATTAGATACCCATTGAATCGACCTGTCCCGCCCCACGCCCCAAAATAAATTACCCGACCTGCCACGAGCAGGCATAGGTATCAAGATACCCATACTGGACGTGCCCCATTGTCATTCCTAAAAACAGTGGACAATGAACCAACTAGCCAAACCCACAACCCGAACCATATCGATCAACTCGTTGGCCCTTCTCCTCCTCTTCCCCTATAAAACCTCACCCAAAGCCCCACAGTTACTCACACAACAACCCTCCTCCTCCTTTGCATCATCATCACTTGCTTTAAACTAACAATATTTCTTCATCGCTCGAGTGCTCTTCTTTCCTTTGCTAATTAGCCATGGCCGGTGCACTGAAGCTGGTGTCGATGCTGTTGGTGTGCGCCCTGGTGGCAACCCAAATGACAGCCGACGCAGCCATAACATGCGGCCAAGTGGCGAGCAGCCTTGCCCCATGCGTCCCATACTTGAAGAACGGCGGGCCCCTCCCAGCGCCATGCTGCAGCGGCGTGAGGACGCTCAACGGTGTCGCCAGATCCACTCCTGACCGCCAAGCCGCTTGCCAGTGCCTGAAGACTGCCGCCGGCAGCATTTCCGGCCTCAAGGCCAACCTCGCCGCTGCCCTCCCCAGTGCCTGTGGTGTCAACATTCCATACAAGATCAGCACCAGCACCAACTGCAAATCGTAAATCTCATTCCATCTTCTCACACATATATGTTGCTGTTTTCCCTTCCTTCCTTTGCTAATATTAATATTGTGCACCCGAGCTGTTGGATTGACATTGTTTTTCGTTTTTCTTGTTTACTGCAGCGTCAAGTGAGGCCTGAGAACTACGGAAAGGACGGGAAGCGGCAGGTTGTGTTAGGATTACGGGATAAATTAAATAAAAGGAATGTGTACTAGAAATAAAAATGGTCGGATGTGGAGCTGGGGGATAGAGTTGTGACTCTTTTATCTCTTTGCATCACCATCGTGTCCTTTTGTTTAGGGTTCATCTGTGTTCTGGGTTTTATGTTTTTAGTGTTTGTTTCCTGAGTGCCTTTGATCCCGTTGAATGAGTATTGCTGTATTGGAATTTACTTGAAACGAAAGTGGTGAAGCAGTCTACTTAACGTACGTATGCCACTTCATCTTTCTATCAAGTATCAACATACATAGCACTAGCGCCTCCTATATAACACTCTAGGAGTCAAACGACAAGAATAATTCATGATTCAAAAGAAGCATTTAAGATTAATTGACAAAAGGCATTTTTGGCAAAATATACAAATTCTTGGTAAGAACTTCAAAATTAAATGTTCAGCATGAACTAGTACACATATGAGTAATCTCTTGCAAAGTCATCATGACATATTCCAAAAACTAAAACCGTCTAGGTAGGGCAAAATGAATAATATCTTAAAAAAAATGTTGAAATACAAGTGTGGTATTGTACAAATCGTTTATAACTTATGTATTTTGGAAAAGAGATCCACTCGGACTTATTATCGGCCTAATGTTGGCGAGTGGCGGATGACCCCCCTGTCGTGCTTCATAAATTTGTTTGGGCTGTCCATTAGGTTTCTGCTTGTTCACTTAAGACTCACCTTCGCTGCTTTATTGTTCCTCTATTCTGTGGGTTGCTCTTGTTCTCCTTTTTTGGCTTCTATATCAACCAGCTTTTTTCAGCAGTACCTCTATGTATATGTCCCTTTCTTTTGACTTTTGTTTTCTTTGGCTCTTGTTTCTTAGGAACAACTTGATGGGTTGGTGTCTCTTAAGTCTTATAGCTTATTCTATTGGTTGATTATTATTTTTTTAATGCTTTATTTTCCTTCAATTCAATTGTAGAAATAATGTAACTGTAGCGTGATATGGTTAGACCAAAATCAAAAGCATACAGTTGTGGTTTGGTTATGGTCAATCCAGCTCTTAGTTAGGTGATTGTGGGTATAGGTGTCAATCGGGCGGGTTCGGGTTGGGTTCAATCGGGTTCGGGTTCAAATGGGTTGTGGGTTAGTCGGGTTGCGGGTTCGGGTTCATCGGGTTCGGGTTCAAACGGGTTGCGGGTTAGTCGGGTTGCGGGTTCATCGGGTTCGGATTCAATCGGGTTGCGGGCAAATCGGGTTGCGGGTTCATCGGGTTTTGGATCGGGCGGGTTGCGGGCGGATCGGGTTTCGGGTTGTTCGGGTCAGCGCATCAAGTAACTTAACTCATTACTCATTACCAACTTACACATTTTATTACACTAATTTAAAATATTTTCTCAACTTTTTAACCAATTTATTTCTACCTCGTATATATATACTTTATTTTTTTGAAAAAAACTAGTCAAAATGTTAAATCAATTTGTATGACTTGCAAACTTGTTATGTAATTAATCATAATTGGTAAAGTATTATAGCTAATAGTAATGGTGATATCAATATTTGCAATCAAAAGACACCGTTAATTGTTTATTTGATATTTTAGTATTAATTCAGTAGTAATTGGATTAAAGTATCTTGTTTAGTATAACCATGCAAATCTGGTATTGGGCGTGTGGTATTTGGCAAAAGCATAGTGATAAAAGGAGTTATTTCAAAATAACTCATTGCCCAAATAATTTTAGTAAACTGGTGTCAAACGAGTTATTTGTAAAATTGTTAGAATTATCCTAAAAATTGAACCATTAAAGATTAGCTATCAAATTTAGTAAAATTATTGTGACTTCAATCATAACTTACTCAATAGCATATATCCTATACACTTAGCTTTACCCTCAATCAACAATATTAAGTTAGTATATGTTGTTGATTGTATAACCTAAACCATCAATACATTATACACTAACCACATAACCTATACCCTAACCATATGTCCTTGAGTTGTGATTTTGCTAGTATAGTTAATTTAAAAGTGAAACTCATACTTTGATTTCCAAAACATAGATAAAATGTGATATTTGTTAATTGTTATACCCTAACCATATATCCTATACTTTACACCACATACCTTGTACCCTAACCACGTACCATAAACACAAATTAAAAAGGGATCTCCTGCCGTTAAAGACTTCAAATGACTTCAAGTGAACATATGTTAATAAAAAAACTTAGAACCGTCAAAACCATCAATATCCTATACCCTAACCATATACACCCTAAACCATATGTACCTTATACCCTAACCATATACTTTATATCCTAAACAACGAACTGTCAAAGATTACTTATCAAGTTTAGTATAAATTGTTGTAACTAATGGTTAATTTATTTATTAGCCCATAAAAAATTACATAGATATATACATATTAGCCTTCAAAGCATATAAGAATAATTTTAACTAGTCATGCCCTCCATATAAAAGTTAAAGATTCATATTTTGAAAGCTAAAATTATGAAAAACCAAAAAATTGAAAACACCAAATTTGTTTCCTTCTTTCTTTTCACAAAAATACTAAAATTTCCCTCCTTCTTTCTCCTTCCATACATTAGAAAAACTCAATTTTCCCTCCTCTTTCTATTCTATAAAATTGAAAGAACCAAATTACCCTCTTCTTTCCTTCTACAAAAAGTTGAAAAGTCAAAAGTTTCCCTTCTTATTTCTCTTTCATAATCAAAAGAATCAAACTTTCCCACTTCTTTCTCTTCTCACATATCAAAACCACCCAAATTCCCACTTGTATCTTTTCTAAAAAATTCAAAGAACGAAATTTCCCTCTTCTTTCTCTTCCCAAAAACTTGAATACACCAAAATTTCCCTTTTCTTTTAAAAACATCAAATTACCAAATACATTACTTTACTTATATTTAATAGATAATTTTATTGAATAGTTAAAATAACCAAAATTTTAATTTATATATTATGTTAATATTGTCATGACCTCAAGTGACCTTCATGTTTCAATTTTTGTAATTTTCTTAAAATACGTAATATCAAGTGAGTTTCATATTTTTAAAATTTCTTATACGAAATGAAAAAATAATTTACTTAAGTTTAGAATGAAAAACTTTATTTTGAAAAATTATGTATAGTATATTTTTATAATTATTCAAGTGGATTAGATGAAATTCGGGTTGAGTCGGTCGGGTTACGGGTTAGTCAGGTTCGGGTCAATCGGGTTCGGGTTAATATGGTTGCGGGTCAGTCGGGTTGCGGGTCAATCGGGTTCGGGTTAATCGGGTTGCGGGTTAGTCGGGTTGCAGGTTAGTTGGGTTGCGGGTCAATCGGGTTGTTGACTTTTAGTCAATTCGGGTTGCGGTTCGGGTTGATCCGGCGGGTTAATCGGGTCGGGCTATGTTTTGACACCTATAATTGTGGGTATAGTTCCTACATTGGTTGTTTTATGGTCATGGTTAAATGAGAAATATGATTCGATTAATCATAACTTCAAGAAGTGTTGGTATAAGGTGAAACCTGAACTGATGAGTGCTTTTGCTAAGTTCTATAACATGGGTATCCTTCCTAGATGGCGCACTAATTTATTTTTCTGGTTCCCAAAAAAGATGTTGTGGAAGATTTTAAATGCCTTTGACTTATTAGTCTAAAGGGTAGCTTCAACAAGCTTCTGAGTAAGGTTTTTATGAGAAGAATGAGCATAGTGCTGCCGCTCCTTGTCTCCAAAAAGAGCAAACTTCTATTCGTGGTCGCCAAATATCTGAAGCCGGACTCATCGCCAATGAGTTAATTGATAGTCAGCGCAAAAGTTGTAAGCCGGGGTTGATGTTTAAGTTGGAAGAGAAAGCCTTTGGCAACGTGAACTGAGAATGTCTCTTCAAGATCCTGACCAGCCTTGGTTTTTCGCCCAAGTGGAGATAGTGGATTCGGGGAACCATGTGTTCTCCCTTTATTTCCATACTTATCAATGGGGAGTCTCATGGTTTTTTTCCTTCCTCTAAGGGTCTGCGTCAAGGAGATCCTCTCTTTTCTGGTTTGTTCGTGTTAGTGATGGACATTCTTTCTTATATGCTCAACACCTTGAAGGAGGAGGGTAGAATTTCGGGGTTTTATATGGATGAGAGTCGTGCCTTAGGAGAGGTCACTCACCTGTTCTTAGCTGACGACACTCTCATATTCTGCGATGCATCTCACGACCAAGTTCTCAACTTGCTCGGTACTTTAGTCTGTTTTCAAGCGGTTACAGGGCTTAGGATCAATTTGGAGAAGTCAATCATGTACACGATTGGGGATGTTTTGGAACGGAGTTTCTTTGCTGAGATATTTGGATGTAAATGGAGCTTTTATAAACGCGCTGCTATGAATCGGGAAATCCCCGAAATTGAGAATACAAGAATACGAAAGCGAGAATTGAAAACACGACACACGATTTACGTGGTTCACTAACACGATGTGTGTTAGCTAGTCCATGGACGAGAGAGAGCCAGTTTCACTATATCGAGGAGATTTCAGATTACAGAGGAGTATGGGAAGTATCTATATAACTTCTCCATGTGGGTCTAAAACTAATCCAATCTGGCAAAGGAAGAGATTACAGACCAGGCCCAGAACCCGAACCCAAATAACAGCGAGACCCCCGACTAATCTAGTCGTAGAGGCTGATAGTCCGATTCAAGTCACATCAACAAATCTCCACCTTGACTTGAATCCTCTTCCTCTGAAATCTCTGATGTACTCTGTTCCTTCTCTCCCTCTCCCGCCATCAATGCCCCGTAGGACGGAGTCACCCACTCAAGACATTCAGCAAGCCCAAGCACTGTTGGAACTTGCCATGTGGAACCAGCTTCGTGAACATATCAGCAGGATTATCCGCGGTGCCAACCTTCTTCACCTTAATCCTCTTCTCTGTCCTCAAGAAATGATACCTCACGTCGATGTGCCTAGTCCTCTCATGGTGGACTTGATCCTTGGCCAAGCCTATTGCACTCAAACTGTCGCAGTACACTATTGCCTGATCATGATGTAGAGCCAGATCACCAACCAGTTCCTTCAACCATATTCCCTCATTAGCAGCTTGTATCAACGCCATACACTCTGCCTCAGTAATAGACAATGTCACTGCCGTCTACAGAGTTACCTTCTAGCTCACTACAGAACTCCCAAGAGTGAATACATAATCGGTCATCAATCTCCTCGTGTCAACATCTCCAGCATAGTCCGAGTCAGAATACCCAGACACCAAGCACTTTGTATAACTTTAGAAGCTAATCCCCACATCAGGTGTACCCTTAAGGTACCGGAAGATCCTCTTCACAGCCTGCCAATGCTCCTTCCCATGTTGTATCATGAACGTACTAACAACACTAAGATCATCTACAAGATTAGGTATAGTGCATACCATAGCGTACATCAAGCTACCTACTGCACTAGCATATGGGAATCTCGACATGTACTCCTTCTCGGCCTCTGACTGTGGTGCATAAGCTGAGGATAGATGAAAATTTGAAGAACTAGGAGTATTTAAGGGCTTTGCTGAAGACATGCCAAACCTCGACATTATCTTCTTGATGTAGCTCTTCTGTGACAAGGAAAGCTTCTTCTTCGACCTGTCCCTGTAAATCTCCATACCCAAGATCTTCTGAGCAGCTCCCAAATCCTTCATCCCAAACTCAGCACTGAGAAGCCCCTTTAACTTGTGGATATCAGACTTCGACCTCGCAGCTATGAGCATATCATCCACATACAGAACAAGATAGATCATCAAACCATCCTCCACCTTGTTGTGATAAACACAACAATCATATGGACTTCTATTGTAGCCCAGCTCAAGCATGTAATTGTCAAATCTCTTGTACCAATGCCTCAGAGACTACTTAAGTCCATACAAGGACTTCTTCAGCTTACAAACATAGTCTTCTTATCCTAGAACCTGAAATCCTTCTAGATGAGTCATGTAAATTTCTTCCTCCAACTCTCCATGTAGGAAAGTTATCTTCACATCTAGCTGCTCGAGCTCCAAGTCATAATGTGCCACTATTGCTAGTAGCACTTAGATCGAAGTATGTCTGACCACTGGTAAGAAAATCTCAATGTAGTCAACTCCTTCCCTCTGTGAGTAGCCTCATGCAACCACCCGAGCTTTAAATTTCATGTCCTCTTTAGAAGTGATTCCTTCTTTCTTGTAGATCCACTTGTTTGTATCAATCTTCCTTCCCTGTGGTTGTTTGACTAGCTCCAAGTCTGATTCCTGTCATGGGATTCCATCTCGTCTCCCATTGCGGCAAGCCACTGATCAGCTTCGCCACCTAAAACGGCTTCTCTATAGGACTGTGGCTCACCTGCATCCACTTCTTCAACAACCTGAAATGAATACACCACCATGTCCTCAAAAACATACCTCTCTGAAGGTACTCATGCAGTCGCTCTCTTTGGTCTACCGGAAGCTATAGACTGTTGAACTCCTGCACTAGACTTTAAATTTTCTGGCTATGTAGAAACATCCTCATGTTGATCTTCTCCACCTTGGTGCTGAAACTCACTCTCATTGAGAGTTTACAGCTCCACCTGTTTATCCACATTCATGCTACCTTCAACAACAGTAACCTTCAACATGGGGTTAAATATAGACTTCTCATCAAATATCACATTTCTACTGAGTATAACTCGATGCTCAAAAGGTTACCAGACTCGAAATCCCTTAACTCCATCTCCGTAACCTACAAATACACCCTTCTTTGCCCTTGGGTTTAGTTTACCCTCATCCACATGATACTAAACAGGACACCCAAAAACTTCAGTGAAGAGTAATCAA